CAAGCCTGTGAACATGCCCACTTTTTTGGCAACTGGAATAAGAGGAAAAAAGGTTTCTTTTATGGTTCTATCACTACAGTGAGCACCTAGAAAGCAGTGTGTTTGCTTTCATAAGAGGCCAGCCATAAGAGGACTGTCAGATGGAGCCAGTCTGTTCTAGATTGGTTGCAGTGCCAAGCCAAGCTAGCATTCCCACGAATCTGCCAGTCTACTTGTTGGTTGACAAATTCATTAGCGTCACCTTTTTTCAGTGCACTATCCTAGACATTGTAGAGAATAGAGTCATCATTAGCAAGGTCTGTGCCCTAGAGATAAGGCTCCCTGGGTGGCAGCTTCACTCCCAGACCCAGGAATAACACTAGGCTGCCTTTCCTGGGCATATGTCCCAGTACAGGCAGGTGCCTTGTATTTGGAGAAGGAAATTGGCCTAGAGTGACTGGCAGAGGAGATGGTGGAGCTCCCTACCCTCTTGATCTCTTCTGCTCTCCTGTGAGTCCCCTGGTCTAAGCTAGACAGAATTTATTGTAACTTAGTTCTATGCTATTCTTTATATGTGATTATATGCAAAGTGATTTAAAAAAATAAAGTGAATCATAACTTATGGCCAGGAGAGCTCTTCCCCCCCACCCCATTCACCCTTAAAGAAACCTTTGGTGAATCCTTGAGAAGGAAATAATGATTTTCATAGTGAGAAGAATCAAAATCTTGATTGATCTGGCTTATAAGTTTTGAGATTTTCAAATGTCAGGTTCTCTGAAAGTGGGATTCGGGCCAGATGGCAAGGGTGGAGCAGTGCTGCATATGATGGCGTGCTGTAGCGTGGACCCCGGGGAGGTTCCAGCATACGATTCAGCTTTTAAGTGCTAGGCCTAATTGAATGCCACTGGCTTAATGAGTATATTGAACATGATCGGTTTGGTGAATTTCCTTCTATTCTCTTTTAAAACTTTGGTCCAGTGCAAAACATTTACCTATTAATATTTTGGAGCAGGTAGAAGCATTCAGAACAATGTGGAAGACGTCATGCAAGTGGAGAAGGAACGGGGGAGGGTCATTGCTCATCTCATTTCCTGAACCCAAGATTTCAGTCAGAAACTTTGCATTTGAATCCTGTTTTTATCATTTCCTTTCATATGATTTCCTTCCAGTATATGTTGTTATTTGTAATTTGAAGCATATTAAAGCTAATTGAATTTTGACCCCAATAGTTTGGACTCTTTAAAAGAAGATTCTATAAAGGCCTTGGCTATCCTACAGAAAAAGATTTGTTAAGTCTCTTGTGTTAATATTGTGGGGACGTTCCTTCACATCAAATACCTTTCTACCTTTAGAAATATGAAGGAATCAAATTTTAGAGTTTGGTGGGTCCTCAGAGAAAATATCGTGCGCGTTTTCTAGAGAGGGACAGGAGATGTGTAAGGTCACCCAGTCTTGCTACTAGCAAAGCCCAAGAGCACATTTCCAAAGAGGCTGCCGATTACAGAGGCCCTTCATCTCCCACTTACATTTCATCAGGACCCTGACTGACCACTTGGAGCCTCTCAGATGTTCAATATGACTAAAACAGCATCATTTTTATAACTATTCAGTAAATCAAAGTTTTCCTAATTCTAATTAGTCTTTCCTCAAATCAGTATTAGTTGTTAAAATTGTCTCAGGTATAGCAGTAATTAGTAGGTATAATTGGTTAGGTTGAGAACTGATAGAAAAATCCTAGGTCATTCATAGATAATAGAAAGTGGAAATTAATAGCAAAGTTGTAACTGAGAGAAATACTCTAAAAAATCCAGAGAACACTGCAACGCGGAATGGCTGTTCCCGTGGAGCAGTAACTTAGTAAATCATGAACCTCCTCCTCCAACTTACCACGTAAACACTCCCATTCCCTGTACTTGTAAGATGGAAGTTAAAAGAATGGATCATTTCTCTCCTTCTTTCATTTTTATTCCTACTGGCTAGTGGAGAAATGATCTTGGATAGAAAAATCACATTAGAATTTGATAAGTTGCTTTTTGAAATAGAGTTGTTTCCATGCCACAGACATTTGGAAAGAAGTATGTTTATTGAAATACATTTTTATAGAAAATGTTACAGAACCTGTAATTAGCTTATGGCAGTATTTTGGGGAGTGATACGTTTCTAATGTTAATTTGTAGATTCACTCTGAACTCCCTTCTGCTGTCTTAGAACCATTGGCTGAGTGAACGTCTTCCAAGAGTCTCTTCAGATCTAAACTGTGTTCCATGGAATGGAGCATTGGTGCTTAAATAATGTATAAATCCAGCTGGACAGGAGCTGCCTGTCAGTTTTATTAACTTTGACCTTTTCTCCCATTATAAAGGTGGTTCAGTAAATATTTAATGGGCCCCTTATAGATCTTGACAGTCAGAGCCGTGTTCCTGGAAACTGGGATACATATATATGATTAACAAGTGCTGCTTAATCTTTATGAGTCAGCTCTCAAGGGCAGATTTTGTTTTGGGGGAAGAAAAGTCCTTCCACCTATGTGTGCTCTTAGAGGTGCACTATACATTGAGAGCGTCCAAGATGGTTGAGGTTTCAAAGGAACTCTTTAAAAGACAGACAGCAGTTAGCATACATTTCTGCTGTTTTGGATTTTTTTGTTGTTGTTTGTTTGAGCAAATGATCAAACTGATGCCAGGTGGGCCATATCACCCTGCCACTCTGCATAGTTAGCAGGACTTGTCCACTCAAAGAGTCAGCAGGGCTGGAATGGCTGAGCTTGCACGGACCCTAATAAATACAAAGGAGGAGAGCCAAAAGGACAGACGGTTCCTTGAGCCAGGAGGAGGCCCCTGCCAAGCCGTCTTTCCCTGTAATTCCATAAAGCCCCATGCATATTGCACTCATTGCAAATTTTGGCAGGGAAGATCGAAACCCAAGTAGCTGACATTTTGAAACATTGTCTTTCAAACTTGTACTGTCCCTTGCCTCCATCGATTTCCCATTTAAGAAATCTGTAGGAAAAAAACAAATTTGAGCAAAATTCAATGGTCTAAGATGAGTTGTTAGAGCCAAGTTATGCCCCCGCTTTTCCACCCTGAAAAGAGCTCCGTCTTTATTATGAATGTGACGTATGTTTGTCTTGTATTGGGCAGCCATAAGGCTCCCACAGCAAATTGACCAAGTAAATAAAAAGCCTGTTAAAAACCAATATGAATGTTCCAAATACAGACACTTCAGTCGTACTGGGTCACTGGATATCCTCATTTTTATAGCCACTTTCCAGGAGCAGATCATTTCAATTGGTTTTGTTTTCTTTGCTCTCTATTTGCATGCGGCCCGATTGCTTTAGGTGAGGCCATTTATTTTTCAGAACGTTATTGCCCTTTGCATCTAAGGCCCAGCCCCTTTTAGACGGTGGTCACCAGTTTCATTACCATGAGTTGTAATGCAGCTGACTTGGCAAAGAAAATCTGTGCCTTGGAAGAGCATTTCGGGAAGAAATTGATTCAGAGCTTTAGAATGAATTACTATTTGTATGTTTAGTTAATTCTAAATAAATGTTTGAAAGACCTTGCTTAATTTGAGAAGACAGGAAGAAACATATTGAATGTTATAAATGGTCTCAATCCAAGTTCTTAGCTTGGCATTTTCACATGTGAATCTTTTATTTACATCTACTCAACATTGGGATACCTTTCAAGGATAATTTTATTATAGCGATATTGATGACAACTGTTATGATCTAAAACACAAAATATGGGATTGAGAAGGGAAGGTAAAAGTTATTGTCACACATCAAATTGGTTATAAGCTTGATTTGGCAAGGAGTGAGAATGATGAGTTATATTTTAAATTAGAATTTCCTGATGGTAGGAGTTGAGGGAATTGACTGCATTAGGGCACAAATGAGCTTTCTGTAGTGATGGAAAGTTTCTTTATCTTGGTTGAGGTGGTTGTTATGCAGGTATAAACATTTGTCAAGACTCATTAAACTGTTCACTTTAAATGTGTATATTATATTTTACATAAATTATAATTCAAAGTCTTGTTTGATTTAGAACTAGGCAGTATCATTCCTCTTTCCCAATAAGAAATTGAAGTATGGAGAAGCAAAGTTATCTATCCTAAGTCACGGTGAAGCTCAGCAGTTTGTCCAGGGATCAAGCAAAGAATGCTGGCACCAGACACATTTAAAGCATGCTGCTTCTTTACCTCCATGGCATTGTTCCAATGGCACATCCATGGACTTGAAATTGACTTCTCCACTCAGTTCTCTTTAGCCTGTATCCATTTATATATATTGTTGTAAGATACATTCATGAACTTGTTCTTATGATTGATATTTGTACCATTGAAAAGATAGCTCAGTGGTTCTGAGTGCAGACCCATAGTATGTTTGAATCTGTGTATGATAAGCCGTGTCATGGTCACGGTGTCCTGCAGTAGACTACAAATTCTGTGTTTTTTTTTTTATTATAAGCAAGACATGACTGTAGCAAGAGTTCCCAGAACTAACTTTGTCTCTAAGGAAAACCTCTGGATTTTCTTATTAAAAAATGATGTAGGCTTTAAAACCATTTACATAAAGCCTATGAATAGTAGTGAAAAATAAAGAAGAAAGTAAAAATCACTGGAATTCTTCTACTGAAAAATACAGTTAGCGTCTTAGAGAACATTTTTTAAGTGCCTTTCTGTTTACAATGGAACCTTTTTTTCCTTTAATTCAACAAACTGATGTTGTGAAGTCCTTTCCATATTTTAATCGATTTCCCAGTCAGTCGTTGGGCATTCCAATTCCCGTTTTTCATCATGATGTCATGCTGTGATGAACAGTCTTGTTCTTGTTTCGTTTCCTGTTTGTCTGATTTCCTTTTTATGGATGAATTCCTTGAAGCAGAATGTGCAGTTGTATTTGAAGTTACTTCCAATGTTCTAAGGGGGTAAGATTATCAAGCATTGCTAGTTTATTACCATCTGTCCTGCTTTTACCAAGTGCTCTTCTTCTTCCCCTTTTGTTTTGTTTTTCTCTACAGTTGCAGTACCATGCAGGACTCGCATCTGGCCTTTTAAACCAGCAGTCGTTGAAGCGCTCCGCCAATCAGATGGGAGTATCTGCCAAACGTAGACCAAAGGCTCAGCCCACAACTCTTGTCTTACCACCTCAGTGAGTGATGGGTTTCAAAAATTGCTTTAGTACTAGGAGAACTTTTACTTGTTTTTGGCTAGTGGAAAGTTATTGTTTTCTTCAAAATTCCCTCCCTCCCTCTTCCCCCTTCCTTCTTTTTTTCTTGAGATAGAGTCTCGCTCTTTTGTCCAGGCCAGAGTACAGTGGCATGATCTTGGCTCACTGCAACCCTGCCCCCTACCCCACCCCCGGGTTCAAGCAATTCTCGTGTCTCAGCTTCCTGAGTATCTGGGATTACAAGTGCACACCACCATGTCCGGCTAATTCTTGTATTTTTATTAGAGATGGGGTTTCACCATGTTGGCCAGGGTGGTTTTGAACTCCCGACCTCAGACAATCCACCTGCCTTGGCTTCCCAAAGTGCTGGGATTACAGGCATGAGCCACTGCGCCTGACCCAAAATTATTTCTTTCCTTTAAAAAGGCATCTATTAGAATTAGAAACCAAGCATGATGGTAACATACTTTGCATAGATCTTTGTGAAGCAGCTATAATGCCGATCGTTTTACACGTTTTGTGTGTGATTTTTCCACCTAGGATTTTAAGAGACCTCACGGCTTATTATTTGTTTCCTAATCACATTCTCAAAGGTGGCAGAATATGAGTACAGTTGTCCTTGTTTTACAAACGAGATGGCTGAGGAGCACATTTGGTTAAGCTGTAGACTACCTAGAGAACCTGCTAGAGCTGGGGTTAGAATAAATGCTAGGCTCATTCGTTCATTTTTTAAAAATACTCATACATGTGTTCTTCTTTTCCCTGTTAGGAATTTCTTGTTAGGAAGGATAGCAGATACAGTAAGCTTCACAGAGCGTACAGCTTAATGATTTTTTTCCACACTTGTGTACATCCACGTAGCCACCACTTGCAGAATCCCGTCAGGATTCCTCCCCATTGTTCCCTGTCACTACCTGTGCTGCCTCCCTCCCGAGTTTAACACCATTCTGACTTCTTTAAACAGTTCATATTGCCTGTCCTTGCATATAAATGGAATCATGCAGTGTCATTTTTCCTCTCAGCTTTTTTCACTCAACATAATATGTGTAAGATTCATCCAGTTGTCTGTTCTTTTCTTCTTGCAGTGTGGTCTTCCTTTGAATACGTCACACTTGATTCATCCACTTGGTTCATTCACCTTGTTCGGTTCTTTTGTAATAGAAGCCCTAGTAGATGAGTGCAGAGGCTCACTCGATGTGGAATGAGACATGTGGGCACATCAGTCCCTTGAGAGCTTTTCTGTCAGCATGCACACTCCTCTGGGAGGGCCAGACACCCAAAAGGTGTCCCCTCACCTGTCCTGCTCACCTCTTGCACCTTCTTCTGTTTCCATCCTCATTTACAAACAGCATTCTTTTCTAGTCTAAGGGAGTGTTCCCATATACGACTTGATTGTTTGCCTTTGCTCAAGGTCTCATTTTCTGTTTGGTTAGCAAATCTTTATCGTATCTCCGACGTGTCAGGCATGTTTCTAGGCCCCAGGGACATCAACATGGGCAGGACAGACATTGTCCTATCTTTGTTAACTTTTCATTTCAGGGGCGGGAAGAGACAAAAAAAGCACCCCTCAACAAATTAATAAATTAATGCCATAATTTGTAGTTATGCTTAGTGCTAGGAAGGGCCTACCGAGTGGGGTAAGGTATGGAAGTGGGGGATATTGCTTAAATAGGGTGATCAAAGAAGGCTTCTCTGAGGAGTCAACATGAGGTACAGACTTGGCAAATGAGGAGGAGAAAGACCAGTGAAGAGCTGGGGGGACCGCAAGGGGTGACTGCTCTGGGGATTCTTTCTGTAGCCAGTGGACGCTCTTATGCCACCACTTCTGTGATTTTCAGGCTTTCTTCAGAGTTCACGCTTGCTTCCTGAATAGGAGGAACATAAGTAGCCTCGACAAGTAGCTTGTGTCTGCTGTTTGCATGCACAGGTGCCATATTTTTCAAAAAGAAGCTCACTACAGGGACAGCTGCTTTTAGTGAGGCAGGATAGAGTTTTTACTGTTTGGCAGAACATTTCTTAAAGGCCATTATTTTATCTGTTGTATCTCATGTGTTGATTTGGTGATTCTGCAAATCTCAGCTTTCAGCTCTCTAAAGTCTTAACAGGCCTTGTAACTTGTCATTTTCCTTGCATGGATTGTCTACTGAGGCAAGATGTTTGGCGAGAAGTAAAAGACTTTCTAATGGTCCCATAAGACTAGAGCCAAAAAGTATTTGCTGCTAACTGTCTCTTGACAAAAGTCAGTTCTTAGTCCATCTGTTCACCATTTGTTAATTTGCATTGGCTTGAAACCTGTTTACAGGTGACATGCTATTATGAGAACACTTAGAAACTATTTTAAGCATCAGGGCAATCAACAGACTCTGTTCTCATGCCAAAAAAAAAAGAAGAAGAAGAAAGAGAAAGAGGTGTTCACAACTGTCATTATAAATTTATAATAAATCACTCAAAATAGTTTCAAAGAGAAAAGTGGTTACTATGTCCTAAGAATACAACATAGCAATGATTTCCTATACTTAGTAGCCTATTTCCTGTGAAAATTGACTGCTGCTTTTTCACATCATTGAGCTTTTTGGTCTCACGTTGTCCTGGAATCCCGTTATAAAACTACTGTCCAATAGGCAGACTCTATATCTAAAAGACATACATTGCTTCCCCTACTACCCTTTTTGTTTCTTTTTAGAGGCAGGCTCTCCCTCTGTTGCACAGGCTGGAGTGCAGTGGTGTGATCACAGCTCACTGCAGCCTCAGACTCCTGAGCTCAAGTGATCCTCTCACCTTGGCCTCCGAAAGTGCTGCAATTATAGATGTGAGCCACTGCACTTCCATCGAGCGCCAGCTATGTGCCACTCATTATGTTTGATGTTGGCTAGAAATGCAACGTGACTGCTGGCCTAAAAAATTTTTTTAAGTTAGAAATAGAACAATAATAGTATATACACAATGTAGATTTTGAAAAAAAGGTAACAAAAACATTAAAAAATAATGTTTTATCTGAAAAAGTTTTTAAGATGATGATGGATATTGTTTTAGACTTTTTCTATGCATGTGTCGCATATAGTTCTTAAAAGCAATAAATAGGTTTTAAAATCTCCAAAAAGGAGTATATTATAGTATTGTTCTATTTCATATTTCAGCCTCTTATTGAATATAGTTGTGAAATTTGAGGGAGCATAATTTGATCTATGGAATATTCAGATTTACATATCAATATCCATGTTATGGTTGTATTCTTTAGAAGACTCCTTGTTACAAAATTTTTTATTATAAGCGCGATGTGGCTGGGCGTGGTGTCTGAGACTGGTTGGATCACAAGGTCAGGAGATTGAGATGATCCTGGCCAACATGGTGAAACCCCACCTCTACTAAAAAAAAAGTACAAAAATTAGCTGGGCATGGTGGCAGATGCCTGTAATCCCAGCTATTTGGGAGGCTGAGTCAGGAGAATTGCTTGAACTCTGGAGGCAGAGGTTGCCGTGAGCTGAGATTGTGTCACTGCACTCCAGCCTGGTGACACATTGAGCTTTTTGAGACTCCATCTCAAAAAAAAGAAAAGAAAAAAAGCACAATGTAACTATAAACTAACTTTTTGTTATTAAGAAAATCCCTTCAACCCCCTTATAAAACACCGAAATCCTCCAAGATTGATATGTTAATTAATTACCTACTGCTGCATAACAGATTGCCCTAAAACTTAGTGCTTTAACAGCCATGAGCATTATCTCTCAAAGTTTCTGTGAATTAGGAATCTAGGTGGTGGCTTGTTTGGGTGGTTCCAACTCAGAGCCTCTCAGAAGGCTGCAGTTGGGTATCAGCCAGGGCTGCAGTCACCTAAGCTTTGTCTGGAGTTAGGAGCTCCACTTCCAAGGTGGCTCACTCACATGGCGGGCAAGTTGATGCTGGCCATTGGCAGATCTGAGTTCCTCTCCACCTAGACCTCTCCACAGGCTGCTTGAGTATCCTCAAGACATGGCGCCTGGCTCCTCCAGAGCCAGCAATCTAGGAGCATGAGAGCCAGGCTGCAGCCATCCTTTTTATGACCTAATCTCAGAAGACACATAGCGTCAATTCTACCCCATTCTGTTCATTTGCAATGAGTCACACCGTTTGACTGACATTCAAGGAGAGGGGGTGAGGCTCTCCCTTTTGAAGAAAGAAGTGTCTAAGAATTTGTGGACATATTTTAAAACCATCACGTTGCACACAGGAACAATGGCTGAGCCTGTAAACCCCATTCACTTATTTAGTCAGTAAATATTTACTCAGGGCCTACAAATGCTTGGTTCTGTGCACTGTGCTGGGGATTCAGAGATGAATAAGATATGATCTTGGCTTTTGGGAAGCTCTGAGGAGAGACAGGAGCAAACAAGGAGCAGAGCATCATAGCAACATGGGCCAAGTTGACTGACGTGACCTTCTTCCAGTGCCTGAGAAGGCCACGGGCGGAGTGCGGAGGGAGGGCCACTTGGGGAAGCCCAGCCGCTCTTCACCACATTTCTGTGCTACTGGCTATGAAGGATGAAGGCTTTATTTCAATGGGAATGCTAGATGCTTTCTTGCCTAGGCTTATAGGATTCTAAGGAAAGGTTTTATTTTTAAGCAGCGGAGGAAAGCAGTGAAGGCTAGTGTCTGGGCTCCTCACACACCTTTCTCTGCAACCCTGTGCATGTTCATGCAGTGACGGGTAGGTTTCTGTGTGGCTTGTGTTAGCGGTTGGATGGCACTAAGGCTGCTACAGCAAAACCACTAGTTCTGCTCAACTGTGCCCAGAGCGCAGGTGTGGCAAGAATGCAGGAGATGGGTACAACGTGTTTGTTTTTAAAGCCCAGGGCTCTAACAGTAGTAGTCTCTGAAGACTCAGATTCTTCCCTGAGCTCCCATAGGATGGGTGATGCGTGGGATTAATGATTCATATCTTTCTCCCGATCCAAACAAGCTTGATAGAAGATAAAGACGTCGTTCACAATGAAAGATATTTTATC